AAAAAAAAAGCAGCTCCGCGCAACTTCATATTTTCCTAAAAAAAATAAAGGGACAATGTATTAAATAAAAGAAAGTTGTTATATTCAGTCAATGTATAAGGGTCAAATTAATTCACATTTGTTTCATCCGGTTCAAAAATAGTATATCTATTTTGTTGGATTAAAGAGCCAGTAGCAGCAGCCAAAGAAAAAGAACAAGGGCAACTGAATAAATAATTAAAATCCAAGGGGGCAATGCATAAAATCAAATACAACCATGATCTTTTCAACAGTACATACTCAGAATTTGTTAAAATTGCAGACCTCTTTTCAACCTGGCTCCGGCACCGCCCACCGCTTGTATTTATCAAAATCGACGACCCAGTCAAACAGTAGGAATTTAACTTTATAACTAATTTGGGTTAAATTTCATCTACACCCCCTACAGATACGCTTAACTTCAACGACACCCTTTCTCAATTCTAAAATTTCACTGTACTCTCTTTTAATTCATATATTCACTTCAAATGTACCCCTTGCTACGACGAACCATTACTGACAATTAAAAAAAAAGAGTAAAGTCATCATCTTCTTCTTCAAAAATTCTAATTTTACCTCAGTCTTCTTCACGACCACTTCATCCCATATATGCCTTCATTTATACACCATTGTTTGCAGCACATCCCCTTACTACTTTATTTATACATACCACTACTATATCATGTTAATATTGAATTTTATTTAATTAATATTTAATTTTATCAAATTAACATCAAGTTAATATTCAATTTAATCAAATTAAGACTAAATTAACCTTAAATTTTATTAAATTAATATTCACATTTATCAAATTAGCATCAAATGGTATTTCTTGTCTTGAATAAAATTAAATTTCATCCAATGGTACTCGTCTTATAAATACTTTGTTTTCTTGAGGTCAATGATTCAACTCCCCCGTCCCCTTCTCCTTCCCAAAAAAAAAAATCCAAGTTATATTTAATTTAATCAAATTAATACCAAAGGGACTTTGACATATATGTATATGTATGTAGGTAAAGAAACCTAATATGTAAAATAATGTAGAGCTTGAGGGTAAAATGGTAAAAATTGGCTTTTTAGTTAGGTCTATTGGTAGACAAATTGTGATAAAAGATGTTAGTGAAATTTCAGAATCCAAAGGTGTGTTGTTGAAGTTAAATTTATTTATAGGGGTGTGGATGAAATTTACTCAACTAATTATGAATGGACCCGTTTACTTTTGGAGATTGTAATCTAATATACGCCTAATCAACATGACAGGAGCGTGGGTAAATGAAAAATATTAACTCTTTTGTTGAAGTTCAACATGATTAGGTTATTGAGATGAAAGCTCGTCCTTAGATGATAATGATGGCATAAAAGAAGGGGTGCTCGTCAGCTACTTCTCAACTGAAAATATCGGAAATTTCCCTCATTCCCAAATAAAAGTTTGTAGGATAAATATTTTAATTAATTTTTAAACTTTGCCTCTTGTTTTAAAATAATTTTAAAATTTTAATTATTTCAATTTAATCCATCAATTATCAATTTTATGTCAACTAAGTTATTTCGTCAATTTCAATCATTAAAACAAATGACGGCACCTGGCGTGGATGACTACATGATAAACATGTAACTTTTCTTTTTTTGTTCCAACAGGTGAAATGGACCAAAAAAATTTATTGATATAAAATTGATAATTGAGGGATTAAATTGAAATAATTGAAAATTCAGAGATTATTTTAAAATAAAAAACAAAGTTTAAGAATTAATTGTAATATTTACCCAAAATAAAGATATAACATTGGAATTCTTTCTTCCGTTAAGATGCTATTTTGGAATCACATGAACAAAAATATTACTCGGTGGAGATGACTAATCCCCGCAAGTGACTATGCTTTCAGTGCTATCACATCTGCCTTCAGCTTGAGGGCCTGTTAACAAAAGTGTATTTTTGCTTTTTTTTTTTTTTTTTATCACTAGGCGCATGAAAAAGATATATGCCTTACTTTGATGACTTTATGAAATAGACATTTTGCATTACGGGTCTTCCTCTTGTCGACATGCTAGGTCTAGGATTACTGGAAGGTGACTGGTGTTCCCACCCATTATGTCCATGTGAGTGTTGTGGCCCATTTACTCCCACTAGCATTTTATGATTGCAATTGCTTTGCTGAATTTTCTTCGACTACAAGTCAGTCTAAAAGTTACACCTAACCAATTCAAATTCTCCGACCCTGATAATGGTGGGGGGATAAGAGTTGTATTAGTGGTGGCTGGTAGTGATATAAGGAAGTGGTGTGGTGCTGCTGATAGTGGTGATGGTGATAGTAGTAGTGGCATCGACAATGAAAGGTGGTGGAGGTGATGGTAATGGCAATGAGACAATAATGTCACAAACCGACATCGTAAACTATTTCCTTTAAGGAACATAAGGTGCAAAAAGAATGTTAAGAGTGGCAACCGAATCATGTATAGTGATATTTGGGTCGTTTCTTATTCATTGAGCGATAAATTTTATGTTAAACTTCACTTTACTTCCCTGTGCTATACTCCAAATTCACTTTACCTTCTTAACAATTAAAAACCTCTACATAACCCTCATGTAATTAGTGGACTACAGTGCAAAGTTAAAAAAATTCGTGCAAATTAACAGAATTGAAAAAAAAAAACTTTAATAACCTTCTTTACTCCGTCCCTTTGTCGAACTCTCTCTCCCTCACAGTCCTTTTGTCGGTCTCACTCACTCACTCCCTTTTGCTCTAGCGACCCATACTCACATGGCACACAAACCACTCCCTTTCTCTAGCAACATACCTCTCTCTACTTTGAAAGACTTTCTTCTTCGGTAGACAAACACACTCTCTCTCCCCTTCTGTCTCTCTCATCCTACTCTTTGTTTCAAACACACACTAATGAACCAAAGAATGAATCAAAATCGAAATCAAAATTGAAACAAAACCAAAATCAAAATCGAAACCTATGGGTGCGTGGGTTCTGTGTGTGTATTCGTGTTCTGTGGGGTGTGTGTGTGTGAGAGAGAGAGAGAGAGAGAGAGAGAGACGATCGGAGTTGGGACACCAGAGAGACGATCAGAGTTTGTGTCAAAGAAGAAGACAATGGTGTTTGGGCATATTTCAAAATTTAATAAGGTTATTTTTGTCTTGAAAATTTCAAAAAATAAATAAAAATGACATAGAACAACTATCAGATCTTCCGTGTGGGACACACATCCTATTATGCTGGATGGCAAACTGACATAGGATTTTAGTCTACAAACCGCGTGAGGGTTACATGATGGTTTTTAATGTTAGGGAGGTAAAGTGAATTTGGAGTATATTTTGAAGTACTTTATCCTAAATTTTAACCTAATTCATTTAAATAATTATTTAAAATGTCCTTACTTATCTATTCCGTTTATTATCCTTTGATATTTGGGTTAACCCATAAAAATAATGAATAAAAAATCTAAGATTAAGATCCCATTATTTATTAATCAATCTTACCACTCATTGTTTTTTTTTTTTGTAAACTAGAAATTTAGTGAGTCCATATAATAATTAAAATAAGTTTAAAAAAATGGTCTCATTTCACAATGATTAATGCTAAAATTTGATCAAAAATGATAAAAAAAAAATCATTTTTTTCATACAACACCAATTAATTTTGTTTATTAAGTCAAATTTAAATGATTCGTATTTGACATTTTATCTAATTCGTTTATTATTTGTATTACCAGATCATTTCATTTTTAAATTGGTATTGAGAACTATTTAACTCCAACTCGCTAATTTCGTACATTAATTTTGCATGTTGAAAATGGCACCATCCTTAAAAAAAAAAAGACTACATTTTTTTTTTCTGAATTTAATATATTATTGACTTAATGGAGAAAAACTATTATGAAGTTTTCTTGCAGCCTAAAAAAACCATATTTGATTCCTTCAAGCAATTTTTAAGCCTCTATAGTTAGAAGTGTTACTCGAAACGAATTATTCGGCTTTAGCTCGGACTCAGCTTAGATAAGACACAACTTGAGCTCAATTTTTTACACTCGCTTAAAAAAACGAGTCAAAAAAGGTAACTTAAACTCACAAAACTCTACTCGTTTATATCTAAAATAGTTGAATTATTTGGGCTCGACTGATATTCTAAACAACTCAAACTTGAACAATTTTTTAGACTTATTTAAAAAAACGAGTTCGACAAATTAAAACTCAAGTTCACAAAATTCAGCTCGATTAACATTACTATTTGCAGTCGCCCAAAGAGGTTTTTTTTTTTTTTTTTTTCCTTCCTACCAAGTTGTATGCCTCACTACTGTTGGCTAGAAAAGATACATACTTTGTAAGGACGAACACGGGTAATTACAAAGAATTTCTTTTATAGTTTACCTTGAATTTCAAGTGTCTTTATTGAAGACATTGATCCGCTTACTTAAACAGTTAATAACTCATAATGTTCCTAGTTCCTATCATATCAAAAATCACATTAATTTCCATTTGAAAGCTCAGTGACGCCCATTGAATAATTTTCTTATGGGTCAATGTCCCTCTCTTTACATCTTAGAAGGCGCTTAAATTCTGAATTTACAACAATCCTTTTTTTTTTTTTGGATATAAAATTGCAAGCTCAATGGTATGAAAAAACTAAAATAATCAATTTATATCGGATCGAATTTGGATATATACATATTCAAATCTGATTTAAGATATCTAAGCCGATTCGATTCAAATTCAGATAAACTCATGAAAATATTTGTCTATATTCATCTAAACGGATTCGGATTCAGATCGGAGCCTAAGTATAATTGAAAAGTAAATGGCAGTCGGAATTTAGGGCACATTACAGCTTATTTATATCATGGGGTTACAATTTGAGAATTAGAACTTTTTAAAGTGTAAATTAAAAATATCAGGAATTTTTTGGGATGCAACGTGTAATTAACCCTTTCAATGCTTTGAATAAGATTAGATTGTTGATCGGTGGTGGGTATATCCTCCGTCCTATAATTTCGCCGTCAGAAGACAAAATTCACTTATCTTTCTTTCTCTCTCAAACTCAACGGAAATCTGAGACCCCAACAACGTTCAGAAGCCCAAACTCCGACTACTAACCAAAAAGAACACAGCTGCTTACCACCACTACTCTCTCTCTCTCTCTCTCTCTCTCTCTCTAATCCATAAAGGAGATCTAACTAGCAGCAAAAGTGACTTCCTTTATGAATCCGAAACCAGGTCGATGGGCGGAGTCACGTCGTCGATCGCCGCTAAGTTCGCCTTCTTCCCCCCAAACCCTCCGTCTTACACGCTGACCGCCGACGATTCCTCCGCTGGCAAACTTCACATCTCTGAGGCTCCCAGAAGAGAAGGCGTGGATGTTTTGAAGCTCCGGACTCGACGCGGCAATGAAATCGTGGCCGCACATATCAAGCACCCCAAAGCAACGGCCACGCTGCTCTATTCCCATGGTAATGCCGCCGATTTGGGCCAGATGTTCGAGCTCTTTGTCGAATTGAGCCTTCGTCTTCGGATCAATCTCATGGGGTATAATTGAATTTTGGTTATTTTATTGCTTATTATTCAGTTTATGAGCTTTAAACTTTAATTTGCTGAATTAAGAGTACGTGCTTTTGGGTTTTGCTTTATTTTTGTGATTGGTGTAAAAGAGGAAAGTGGGTTTAATAGTGTTTTTCTTTAGTATTTTTATTGTTCTTATTGTTTGGAAGTTGTTTGATGAAGGGATGATTCTATGAGTACATATTTATAGGCCCTTTTTACTTGTCTAGTCGTCTATAGCGTATGGCTGATATTTTATAGTAAATATATATACTATGTATTGGAAAGATATGATCTTTGTTATACATAAGTTAAATTCTTGTGTTTGGTATGATGAAGTTGTTTTAGTTAGAATGGAATCTTCAGGTTTTGCATGTCTTTAGGATTAGGGAAGTGATTATCAAAGCAATGCTGAAGCAGTTTAAACCAGTATTTTATCATGGAATACCTTCTCACTTGGATATGTTGGTAAAACTGAAACCTCCTTTGTGGTAGGGCCAACATGATGGCATGAGCTTTTTCTTGTCCTCTGTGAGAAAATTAATTCTAAAAAAAAGGGTGAGACATTATGGTTTTCAGTTTTTCATTTAGTGGCCATACTTGTTATAAAGGAACTTGAATTTTGTTGTGCTCCATAGTGACATTGTTCTTTTGTGATTAAAGTCCTTAATTAGATGATATTAAGTCTTGTGACGTGGCATATCATCTGTGCGGTGCCAACTGAACCCCCTGCGGGTTTTCTACTTGTTTTCTCAAACTCTGGAGATCGAGAATATGGATACAAAGCATGGTAAATTTTTCTTTTTCTCTCTCACGAAAATGAGAGTGAGTTGGTGGGGTATTGAGAATCTGAACAAATGTTTAGTTTCGACTTTTGAGGCCAAAAGGGTAATGTCCATAAATTTTAAACTCATTGGAGACCTATTCACATGGTGTTGTTAAGCAGGGTTTTTAAAATCCGGATCCTACCTTAGATTGATGGGGAGGCTAAAGTATCAAATAGTAGGATCGGATCAAGAATCGTAAAATCTTATGAACTAAAAAACTAAGAAAAAAATATGCAGCAATAAAAAATTATTAGAAACATGAATTATATATATATGTAAATAGGAATGTCATAACATGCAAAAAAAAAAAATTGAGAAACTATAATTTTAGCATTAAAGAGGGATGGAAGTCAAAGTTGCGTTGTTAATCTTGTGGGGTTTTGCGAAGAGGAATAGGAGAATTGAAGTAATTCAATCTTAACTTTCAGAGATAGATAAACGAATAAAGGATCTTTTTGTAACGAAGAAAACTTTTGTATCTTTTGTTATTTGTCAAAATTCCCCAATACCCTCACAATAATCATATTTGGATTGTCTCTTTAAGTATTAAAACAAAAATAATGGATAGAGTCATAATAATTAAATGCGCCCAACAAACAAACATAATTTGGGAGCTATAGAATCACAATTCAGATTGTTATCCTACGATCCTATAATATCCAGATCAAGAGCCATTAAGATCCTATGAATTAGAGATTCTACAAAAGTCTCGGATCTATTTGTGATTTTAATAACCATGTTGTTAAGTGAGTAGCAAACAGGAGCATTTTGCGAACTTTCTCATTCAGAATCATGCTCAATTGGATGAAAGGAAAATTTCTCTATCTTCTAAATCTTAGATTCTTTTTTAAGACCCTTACCACATTGTTCCTAGCAGTACGGGGCATTGGGAGGGGTGTTTCCATATAAACTTAATGTTTGGCATCATTTTTTTTAAAGTGACTTTAAACTCCATTCTCACGCTTTGTAGACAAACTTTTAGAACTGTACAAAATAACTACTCTTTAAATAGATCTGTGCTAATCAGACCCAAACTTAGAACCTCTTCTTAAAGGCCAAATTGTGATTCTAATATGCATTTTTTGTCTATTTTAGTCGAAAGGGAATGTAATTGCAATGTCTGTGCACACTGGAAAATGGTTCAAAGGGAAGGGCTTATATAGCTCGTGACGAGAAGAAAACATTTGTCATGTTCTCAAAAGTAAAATCTACATTAAATGACATTGATTTTTAGGATTGCAAAACTATTGGTAAACCTCCCTTTAGATTTTGATATGTGGGATGGGAGAGTTTGTTTAGTTTGTGATTAAACTAGCGGAGGAAAATGGCAATGCATGTTTTCCAATGTTTAAGTTCATTTTCTACTAGCTAGCAGGTGGTGTTTTGGGCAGATATATTCAAGGTTGTCAAAACATGTATCGGAAGGTGTATTATTTCAAAATTAGTATATCATATATTGTAACGTATCGTATATCTTAAGATACTTGTCGTTTTATAAGAGATATTAAAAAATACATATACTATGAAAAAGATCATAAGAACATTTCATTGCACAATAAGTTTCTCACATAAAATAATTTAAAGAGACTATAAGGACACAAAAAAAAAAAAATTAACAATCAAGTATTCAAGATTCTAACATAATTCATCAATATCAAAATTTAGAGAGTTCTAGTTCTAGCATCTAAAGGCGTTAGATGAAGACATTTTTAACAATCAAATTATTTGCTCTTGCGATGGAATAAATAACAAAAGAAGACTTCCATTTTTTAAAACCTTAGATAGTGAAACAGCGTTGCTTCATTACATAGTGTTTAAAAAAATTACTTTTATGTGAAAATCCGTTGTTTTCTGTTTAAAATAAATCAAAAAAAGTTTGTTTTGATCATTTTAACCCTATATTGGACGACTCGTATGCATTGTCTTGTATTGGTTGTATCGCACGATACAGTGAAAACTAATATACTAAAGTGATACGTATCGCTTTCTTTATATATCGAAATGTATCGTATTATACAATACTAACAACTATGGATATATTAATGTGGCACAAGAGTCTAAGTTAGCTTACTTGTCAAAATTCCCATATGGGAAGTACAACATTATTTTATTTATGCTAGGATAGGAGTTGTATGAGAATCTCTTCCGTTTAGGAAATGTCACTTCCCAATATCTTTCATTTAAAAACTCCTGAAATTCTATGGTCATGCTTCAAAATCTGTTAGTTTTCCCTTTTTCGCTAGGACTTGCACTTGTCTCAAGCTAATTCATCCATCACCCTTTCCAATTTCAGTAACATTTGAGGTCATTTGCTTTGGAATTACACACTGTTGACTAAGGCTAGTTAGAAGATTTCTTCTATGTGATGCTTTTTTTTTTGTTAAATAGGAAATGTCAGGCTTTACCTCATTAGTTATGACCTCTATCAGTTTTATAATGATCTGTCCTCGTTCACTGTGCATTGTGTGCTCTGAAATGGTCATAATGTTCACTGTTTTGGAACTGCATTATGTGAATGTAGACCGAAGGAAACTATTATCCAATCTGACACTCTGATTGGGTTTTGAGACGTACCCATTGAGGAGGAATCATGATCATGAGACTGGAAAAGTATGAAGAACTTCACTGTGATTTATGTTATGTCCAGAAAATTGACCACTTGATGCTTGGGGACTTCTTTAGTGTTTTGTACAAGCCCAGGTCAATGCTTTTATGATCTGGATGAAATTTGCACTTGGTTCAGGAAAGTAGGGCAACCTCCTAATTTAGAGGACTTGTTGCCTTTATGTTTCTTACAAGAGCGTTTCATGTCTGCCCCTAATAAGTTGGCTGTTCTCTGCACCTAGTGCCACCATATTTTAAAGTTGGGTGACTTGAATTGCATCTAGTTCCTCTGCCCACTTGTAAGAAGCACCTTTGGGAGGATAAAAATATACTCTTTTTGGCAATAAGAAGCAGACTGCACTACTTTTTAGTGTGGAATTCGGTGGTGTCTTTAGTGCAAATTTGGTTGCATCTTGCTTCTTTTGGGTCTTGTACCCTTTACTTTTTTTGGTTTAAATTTTTTGTAGGTAGTTTTATTCATATATACTCTACCTGTTTTTCTACTTTAAACTTTTTATTTGATTTTATTCATTATTTTCCTTTGATTTCTTTAAACTTTTGGGGAAGGGTAGGAACATTATGAGTGGTCACATTTGTTAATTTTGTTTAGGCATACACATGCAGTTCAAATTCTACAAACAAACCAAAGTACCATTCTAAAGTTCTTGATAGCTATATCTCTTGCTGGACATATTCATAAATTGTTATATTTTTGGTCCAGGTATGATTACTCTGGCTATGGACAGTCAACTGGAAAGGTTGGATTACTTTCTTGTTAATGGTTATATTTTTATTTATAATGTGAATTTCTCAGGCATTAACTATTTTTACTTTCCAGCTTCTGTCCTTTGCATACTTTGTCGATATGTGCCTGTATTCTTTTAGCAATTATAGTTATCTTTGCTTTCAAGATCCTCAACATTAAATACATGTTGTCGACATCTGTTACACCATTAGGGGATTGCTACTTAGTGATATGAGCTCACTGACCCAACAAACCTGTTTCTTTCACAATCACAAGTGCAGATATATTTCTTGATTATATGACTTGACTTTCGATTGAATCATAATTAGTATTTTGCTCTATTAGTAAATGCTTGGATGGGTCATGGTTTAAAAATGAAACAAATTTTGAGATGGTATAAGTAGCAATACAAGGTGATAAATTATGAAAAATAAACTAAGATGGTTTTGCATTAAGGACCAATATTGCACCAGCAAGGAAGGGTCACATGGAACACTATTGAACTGCTAGGGTAGGGAAGATCAAAGCTAATTTGATTCAGATGTCAAAGAAAGATGTAGTGTGTGGTTTAACAATATAGAGACACTAATACTTCAACTCTAATACTGTTGTGGTATCACAGGAAAACGGTCATTTTCATGTACGGCCATCTATTATGTGAATCTACCACTCGTTAGATTGGAACAATTGCTTAAAGATTCTCAGGGAAAAAAAGAAGGAAAAACAGAGAGAAAAAGGGGGGGGGGGGGGGGGGGAGAGAGAGAGAGAGAGAGAGAGAGAGAGATGATGATGATGATGATAGATCATAGCAAACTGTGATGGGGAGTATTTTGGGAAAATGCAGTTATGCCTAATGCAACGCTTGCATTTCATATATTGATTTCATAACTTTTTTTTTCATCTCGCTTGGACCCGATTTATAGTTACTGATTTGTGTACAAATTTATTCAAATCAGCATCCTGTGATATTGTTTGTATGTAGGGTGTGGGGGTGCGGGGTCACCTTGAAACACTTCTGTCTCTGTGTCCTAACCAGAATTATAAAGTAGGATATTTTACTGGTAGGCAATTTTATGTTTGGAATGATGCTTGAATTTGGATATATCTGGCTTCACTTTTCTGGGGATATTGTCCTTATCACTATTTATTCTTTCTTGTAAAATGACAGCCGTCACTTTTTCCTTTGAAACAGCCAACTGAATATAATACATATGCGGACATAGATGCAGTATATAAGTGCCTCAAGGAGCAGTATGGGGTCAAAGATGAACAACTGATATTATACGGACAGTCGGTTGGTAGTGGTCCCACCATTGATCTTGCGTCTCGTGTGCCAGATTTGAGAGGTGTTGTTCTACACAGTCCTATTCTGTCTGGCATAAGGGTATTGTACCCCGTCAAACGGACGTATTGGTTCGATGTTTTCAAGGTAGTGTGACATTCTTGACATTTTTTTTTCTAGACTGTCCTATTTTGCAGATACATGCTTACTTAGTTCCTTTGTTGATTTCAGAATATCGATAAAATCGGCATGGTAAACAGTCCTGTTCTAGTTATCCATGTAAGTTAACCTTCTTTGCTTCACCTGAAATGTTCTTTTATTCTTCTTTATCATATCTCCTCCACTCTCCCCCCAAACTGCCAAAAAAAGAATTTCATTTTACTTTTGATAAGATTCCTAGAGAGAACTAGTGTCCTACTTGTTTTTTTTTTGTTGCGGTTTCAGCATTAAGTTCCATCTTAACTGAATCAATGTACTTTAGCATGACAGAACTTCTTACTTGATAATTGTCAAAAGAACTTCTTATAGCCTAGCTATTTTCTTATAGGAATTGGTTTTTGAACTAATAAAATTCTTATATGAAGCTGCACCTAGGTTCTTTAAAATTTTTGATGTTGAAATGCATTTATCAACATGTGGTCACATATACCTTGTACTCTCATGAGTATATCTCCTGAATCAAACTGTCATTTTCATGGTTAATGAAATGAATTCCCCTTATGTAGATGAAAGTTGCACTACTTATATCTCAAAACTTTCAACGGATGAAGTTTTCAAAACACGATATTTGTATTTAAACACAGAAAAAGTATTTATTTTCTAATTGCTTTGGATGTCTAATAGAATAGAACGTATTAAAAAATGTAAAATTGGCAAGAAAACTGTTCTTCAGTTCTGTTTGAGCATTAAATGTTAATATCTCTGGACGTTTCCTCTTTTTAATGTGTTGCTCATACCATATTTTCCTATGGTATAAATGTTGTGTATTGTCACATAATTTACTAAACGTAAGAGAGTTTTAATTCAAGTATGGATTAGAGTGGGTAACAAAAAGTCATGTTTGTTATTATATCAACCATCAACAAAGCTTGTGGAAGTTTATATGAATCTATTTGTAATAGCAGATAACTAGCAATAACCCGTCCCTCGAGACACTTTTCAATATCAAAAAGTGCAATATTTATATTTTAAGTAATAATTTATTATTTTTTTAATTATGCAATTTAAAATTAAAGTGAGCAGAAAGAAAGTAAGAAAGAAGTAAGGAAGGGAGAAGTGAGAGGTAGGTGTGGATTAATAAGGTTGTTTGACATCGGGGGTTGTGTTGATTGAGTTGTCCGATATTGGAGGTCGTGCAAAAAAGATGAAGTTTTTGAGTGGGAATAAAAAATTTAAGATGAATTTTGTACCATTATATTAAGATCAATGCTATTAAAGTAGGTGAAAATTATATCCATCATGACCGTTATTGTGCTTTTATAAGTTGAGAATTCAACTTTTTAATTGTAATATTAGATGGATTTTGTTTTCCACAAATCTTGACATTCTTCTCAACCCCCAACTTTCTTATTCAGAAATCACTTAGAGAAATTGAATTATAGTTTACTTGTTTCTAACTTCAGGGGACAGCAGATGAAGTTGTTGATTGGTCCCATGGGAAACAGCTATATGAGCTTTGCAAAGAAAAGTATGAACCCTTATGGCTAACTGGGGGCGGGCATTGCAATCTTGAGCTATATCCCGAATTCATCAAACATCTGAAAAAATTCGTACTGACCCTCAGCAAGTCAAAAGCACCTACGAATGGTTCAAAGAAAGCATCATTAGACTCTGACACTCAGACCAAACCATCTGAAGGCGCAACTGCCGACACATTTGAGTTGCAACCTGATCTTCCTGAAGTTTCTAGAAACAGTTTAGACAGCCGACTTGAGAAGTCTAAGAAGTCAAACAAGCCTGAAAAATCACGAATGAGTACGGACCGTGTTGATAGGTTTAGGAGAAGAAAGGGCTTAGTCTGGTGACTACTTCAGCAAAGAGAGCCTTGAATAATTTATGCACTCATACCTAGTTGAGAAGGTAATTACACGCTTTTACACGTGTTTCTATATCCACTCTTAACTCCAGTTATCAAATTGAGTGTGATTTCAATACTATGACTCTATGAGCAAGTGTACAAGATGCATGGGAGACTGTTAGAGGTCTATCCCTTATTTGCAAGCCTTTAAAACAGAGCAAACTAATGCTGTTTAGTGTCATTAGTTTCTAATGAATTCGCTCACTCCCTACAAAGCTCTGATTGCTGACCACTTTGTCACATAAATTCTTGAGGGACTGTTCATTGCCACATTCTCAAATTGTGTTCTAAATTGTCATACTCCTCACATTTATCTCATCCGTCTCTCCATCTACTAAATTTCATCAAAATACCAGCTTTGTTGCCTCCCTCAAACACCTTGCATCACCAAAATCTCCGTTCTACAGTCCCTAACCGTCTATAGCAAAATCTCAGCTGCCTGCAATTCTGTCTTTAGTAACCGCTTGCCGAGTAGCTAGTTTTAATTGGCTTCCATCTACCATGACTGTCTCATGAGTTTGACTATTGGAGCCCCCCAGTTGAAACTTTCGTCCTTCTGGACACTAACTAGCAGCGCTCTCTTTTGGTTACGGTGTGAACCATGCTAGTGTTCCTTCAAACAAGAACACCAATCTATAATTCTGAAGAGTCTAACTCCTATGATAAAGTTGCTTTGCATGCTCGTCTTTGAAATGCAAGGCAACGCCACCTTACAAGAACTGTGGAGATAACTGATTGATATAGCACTTATATACTATGTTTAATATAAGGATGAAATCACACCAGTTGTGGAATAAACGAACTAAGAATCTACCGAACAGAGTTTGCAAGCAATGAAGATCTGGGAGAAGAAGAGGAGAGAGAGAAGAAGAGACTTAAAAAGAAAATTGTTATTCCAATATGTTGGCTTCTCTTACATCAGGATCTAACAAACCAGTTGTGTTCTATATTGACATCAATAGATTAGAATCTGCTACACACGATTCCATGACATACTACTTAATGACTTGCATCTGATCATCCGCAAGAAGGAAGTAGGACCCCCAATTTTGATCAGCCCATGCAATATGTATCACCTAAAAAGATTCGGACCTTTGGTTTAAATATTAAGGAGTGGATCAAATTAATTTAATTCACTAATAATATGATACTAAGTTTGAATGAGGTTATTAATTCTGCTCTGGTTCACTACTGTCATTTAGCACCTAATATTAAAAAGTAATGAATACCATGTAATATGTGGTATTATTTTTAACAAGTTGATTACTAAAAATGGAATGATGTTGTTATCTTTGTAAACTACCTTCATACAAAAGTTACGCATTACACAAATTATTATCCTCAATATTTGTTTTCTCATTTTTAATTTAATGTTATACACTATTATTTAATCCAAACATAAATTTAGTGTTGTAAATATAGATTTATATATTATCCTAACTTATGAGCCCAGATTCAAACCAGACCCGGGACCAGTTCATGGGTTGAGCTCAAATAATTAAAAGGCAGGTCAGACTTAGTTCATGACCTCAGTTTAATCCAAAACCCAAGAGTCTAGTAAGAGTCAATGCACGTAGAAGAGCAATCAATAAGATAGTCATTACTCTAAGATAGTGTCTATCTCCAATTGTAACTATCCTCCCTGATAAATTAGTAGTGTGACACACACTTTACCTTGATCGTATTATTGCTCTCTCTCCCCTACTATCTTATACTCTCTCATTAATAAAATTCTCCAGCCACCGTTGCCGCTTTAAGTGGAAAGATCCCCAGAACCAACTATCCAGTCTTTGTCTCTTATTATTAATTGTTTTATACCACACACTCGATTGATTTGATCGTGTATAAATCCACTTTTGTGGATCATCAGTTTGACGCCATCTGTGAGAACCAATTTGATTCTCACCATATAGTCTTCCTACTTTCAATGACAATCACAACTAGATCCATGAACAACCAAGCAAAAGATGACTCGCCATATCACGACGAGGTCTTGCTACCACCAGTGAACCTCGTCCCTAAATCCCAATAGCTGATGGAGACCATGCAAAACCAGGTTAATCAAAACCAGCAGATCCTCGTGTTAGTGCTTCTTGGGAGTCTTCAAGGAGGCCCAACATTAGGAAGGAGGAAGGGCGCCCCAAGAGCCTCACCTAGGACGCCAGGGGCCTTCTGCTACCCCGCTTCTTCACAAGTTTGCTCCTTTACATGATGGCGACCCTCTCTCCCAAGAGGACCAATGAAAAATCAGCATGAGGACCACGAAAAGTAGATATAAGAAAATTCTACTTCTTCACTAATTTATGGTTAAAATTCAAATTTAGTGAGAAACAAACGTTTTTTGGGGAAAATTTGGTATTCAAATCGTCGTCAGCAGTTTGATCATAGTAGATCTCAAAAAAAATACTAACATTAAAAAAAAAAAATCATCTCAAACGGACAACTGAGTACAAAAGTATAATTGTTTAAAGCTTTGTCATTTCTTCATGGCTTTTCTAATACAGCGCCCAACACCAGTGCCCAGTGCCTAGCGGCGCCCGTGCCAGCGACGCCCGCACCTGGCACCCAATGGTTAGGTTCCCAGACCCAAGTATCCAATTTTTGTCTCTTATTATTAACTGTTTCATTTATTACTTTACACCACACACTCGACTATTTTAATTATACATAAATTCACTTTTGTGCATCATCACTAACATTGATCCAAACATGTTATACAATGATAAAATTAAATAGTACTTTTGTTAACACCATTTATGGATTGAATGGGGAACTAAGAATCCAATTCCATCTTTTATTTGTACCTAAACCAAACTTGCCTGGTAGTTGGACAACCTAAACTTTCAACTCATAAAATACTTGGATACGTATCGAATTTGATTCTGCAAGCCTTTGTTGTCTGGCAACGTTTAGGGAAGAAAGTTAGTTATCCATTCTTATGGTATGTTTGGTTAAAGTGATGAAAAATAGAAGGGATACAAAAATAGAAGGGAAGGTTTTTTCACTCTCAAAGGAAGGAAATATATTTTCCCTCCTTGTTTGTTGGGAAAGATAAAAAAGTGGGATAGATGTATTTTATATTATTTTATTTGATATGAAAAAGAAAATCATAAAGTAATATTATATGTTGAATACCATAACTACCCTTAAGTTAGTAAAAAGAAAAGAGTAATTCTATTTGAACCTATACATATGACATAATTTGATGATCTAATGATGTGATTTTATTAGAACTATTGGATTAACACCAAATTCTAATGTTTGATAGGGTCTACAATCAGTTCAAATATCATAATGAATTTAGTAATACTACATTGACTAAATTTTGGAACTAAATTTAGAGCCCAAATGATACGGTAGCTAACATAAATTTCTTTATTTGATGTCATGTCATTTAGGTCCCAATAAAGACTTCAAATAATATGCTGACATGTCATTTGAGCTTTAAATTTGGTCAACACAATACTACTGTAATAAATTAGGTCAACAAATTAAGTTTCAATAACGTTACTAAAAAAAAAATGGCACATGGATCCCACCATGGCTTATTTGTTCGTCGGAGATAACGAAGTATGATGGACTCCGCGTTGATTTCTTTTTCAAACCATGGTCAACAAGCAGCTATTGGGAGGGCAAAATAATAAATTGCGTAAATGTAGGTAGACTTAAAAACTAGACTTGATAATCGCAACAATTGAATAGATAATGGATCCCAATAAATGCTGAGACCCATAGTGAAATCAATGATTATAATTATCCAGTCTATTTTTTAAGTCTATATAACATTGCACTAAAAAATTTATCAGTTGTAATGATTAGTTCACTTTCTCTCTCCAAATTTTCGCCTGAAATCGGACGGATTAGATTTGGTGGGCAGAGAGGATGCACTCCCCTTTCCTTTGCACTTTCCCTTTTCAACCAAACAAAGAAAAACACCACTTTCCTTCCTTTTTTTTCATCCACCCATTTTCCTTCATATCAGACAGAGGCTTAGAATCCATCCACAATTGCACTTATTTGCTTTCCACACATGATCATATTCTTTTTCGTCTTGAGCTCTATCCCAAACATCGTTATCAAAATCTCGATCCAGATTTAGGATTTTCAGTCCATAATAGATAAATCGATCCGAATCTCATATAAAATCCCAAATTAATATGATCTTAGTGAATTGTGATCCGGATCTTTTAAGATTGTAGAATCCAGATCCGAATTGGGTTTATTTGTTAGGCGCATTTAATTATTAAGCTGACTTAATTCATATTTATTATTTTAATACTTAAAGACTCAATTTAAATGGAATTGTCTCACATAATTGTTAGTCTATTAAGGAATTTTGACGAATGAAAAAGCTGCATAAAATTCTTTATGCTATAGAAAATTCTTTTCATCCAATTGTTTCCCGAGCTGAAAATTAAAAACAACCGTTAAGTTTGATTACACAAGTAATAATTGCTAAATGGTCATCTATTTTCATTCTTTTCTATTTTTTTGGTTTAGATGTCAAGCAAGTCTTTCAAATTTTCAGGACCTCATCTATGTTTGTCTCTCTCTAAAAATTAAGATCAAAATATTTAATTTTTCCTACTCCTCACAACATCCCACAAGATTAACAATCCATATTTGATTTTTAACCATTTTTAAGGCTCAAGCTCTTTAAATAATCATGTCTCTAAATTTTGTGATTTTTTTTTATATCACATCAATTTGCATTATATACTAGCAACCTATTTATGCTAGCAACATCCCACAAGGTTAACAATCTACATTTTATGTTTTTTTTTATGAAGCTCAAGCTATTCTCTTCCTCGGTAGTAGCAACAGGCATACAAGAAGTGAGATATCTATATAATATTACACATAATCTTGCTCACATATACTACAACAACAACTCAAATCGTTTAAATTTGATGATTTATATTATGACTTAAATTTCAACTTTTTAAT